GCATGCACGCAGACACATGCACATACACCCACACCTGAGGTCCCAGGAAGTCACAACCTGCAGGAGAACCTGGGTGTAACCTGGAGCAAGCAAGTGGGCTCTTGAGTGGAGGGAACACCTTCAAGGTGCAGGCTGCAGACAGGCAGACATGGAATCCATGGGAATTATCAGAGAGTAAGTGTGACTGCGGGAAACAAGAAGGAACGAATCTCGGGGAGTGTGCATCCACGCCTCCCGGGTGCCAGCTGGGTGCCCTGACAGCGTGCTGTCCCTCTAGCTGCAGAGCATCCCCTGGTCGGCCCCACAGACCCCTGCACGAAGCTCCAGAACCTTCCCTTCCTCCTCATTGCACCGTCCTCCCCTGCTCAGAGAAGCTCACTGATCCAAGAAGTGGCTGGGTCTATTTTTGGAAATAAAGAGAGTGTTTCGGCAGCGCCTGGTACCCAGACACGGCCAAGGGAGCGTGTTTCTCCATCTGTGACAATACAATGTTCTGTCACTTCACATCACGATATCGCAGCCACGGTGACTCCCGGACATGCATGGTGCTCAGCTCCCTTGGAGGAAAAAGGGTCCTTGTGCCTCTGGGCCACAGAGAACATCTGTTCCTAAAAGATGCAACCGCCCCAATGGGCCTCGCTCAGCTGGCCAGCTTTTAACCTCAGAGCTTTCTGTCCAATGACCCACATTTCCCGAGAAAGGGGGTCTGCCCATGGGCTCTCTCCTCCATGTCGTCGTCAGGATGGAAGCAAAATGCTTTCGTGGAGTGAAAATACAATTCACTTTCTTCAGCGATGACTTTGAATAACAGCTTTGAAGCCATTTAAACACAACAAGGACCCCCAACCAAAGGCAACTCACCCTGAAGCGATCTTCCTTTTCATTTATTACAAGATCGGGGCCACCCCGGAAGCCGCTCTGTGTCTGTAAGGCCGCTGCCCTAAAAACATCCCTCCCACTATGAACACCAGGTTCCCCAACCCTGTGTGCCTCGCACTTCCACACGAATTGCCACGGTTTCTTTACTTCGGCAGAAGCACGGGCTCCCTTTCCTCAAACAGAATTCGCATCTGAATCCACATGAAGGGAAACTCAAGACCAGGTAGAGAACCTAGATGGCGATGGCCCCTGTAACGTTTCCTGTGGAACCTCAGACGACAGACCTCTGAGTGTGCCTGCCATAAACACATATGTGTGTTCCCTCAGTCTGTCAAGGAAAAGAGTGTAAAAAGGCACATCATATTAAAAAGCAATAAATATGTACCGGAATGAACAAATGAACAAGGGGACCGAGAAGAGTGGAGGCAAAATTGAGCACGGTCAATTCCACTTTTTAAAGTTTCCCGCACATTTCCCGGATCAGATTGCCGAGGCTGTACCCTCAGACCTGCAAGCTCTGCTGGTCCTGTGGGTGTAACACCCCCGAGGCTGGCCAGAGGGACCGCGTAGGACAGGTGTGGGTAACTGAGCACAGCCATCAGAATAGCTTCGAGAAGCCTTGTGCATTTTAGTAAACTGTCCTGTAGTTCTTAGACAAATATTTGGGGCCTCTGAACAAAACCGACCATGAAGCTGGCGTGATGGCATCGCATCTTCCCCGCGCGGGGCTGAGCCCAGCATCCCAGAGCAGTTTGCCAGGACAATGAATGTCCACCTGCTCTGAAGGACGCCTCACGCGCAGGAGGAGGGCACATCGCTGTGTATATTCAGCATCCAGGTTGACGGACAAGAAGTTGAGGTGGAACCAGTAGCATCTCCAAGGCCCCTGATCTTGGTGGTGGGGCCCAGGAGTCCTGACTACGTCCCGCCCCATGGAGGGGGCAGGGTGGGAGATGTGGGGGCCTCGGGGGCCCCAGGATGTGACCTGTGTGGGGAAGGTTCATAGTGAGGGATGGAGGGATGGAGGGTAAAGACGAGAAGACGCACATCTCTGCAACATGGATGCGACAGTCCCAGGTCAGGAATTGGGACTCATGGAATTGGTCATGTCACAGCTCTCAGGTCCATTGTTATGGTCTATTCTGGGAGCCATGGAGGCCTTTCTCCTGTGGTTTTTACTTAAATCCACTCCTGTGGGATAGTGTGCCAATGATGGTCCTTATCTCCAGAGTGAGCCCATGAGACCACTAATCAAAGCTTTCCATTCCACAGAATCAGGGTGAACTCCGACGATTGCTGGACCCAGAGCGTCCCGGCCCCAGAGCTAATGCAGAATACAGACACGTCAACTAGGAAGCCAAACAGGGTCCCCATCAAGTATCTGCCGTGAAATCAGACACTGATGGGTCTTTGCCACCGGAATTATGTCTTGATGGCCAGAAAGAGCTTTACACAGTCCTCAAGATTCTTAAGAGAGAGAACCCCTGCTGGGGATTAGAAGACGCACACCATCACCCCAGCTCTGCCACGTGCGAGGCAAGTGTCTTCCTGCACATCAGTGTGACTCCCTGAGCTCTGCTCTTCCTTGTCTGTGAGGCGTGAGGTCACTCACTGGGGCAGGACAGCATGGGCACCTCTGTTCTGCAGTAGGTGTGACTGGACTGTACCCCAAATTTCACCACTAACTAACTGAGCCAGTTACTTCATCCAGATAAGCCTCAGTTTCCTCATCTATAAAATGGACACAAACATTTTATTTAGTAGGCACAGCTCCTCTCTATGGTAAGTCCTAGAAGCGACTTCTTTCAGATTTACATGTCCATATGCATAAATACAACTACCATGTGTTTGCATTGAAGACACAGTTCTGTTCTTTCCTTTGTTTCTTTTTTTTTTTTGGTGAGGAAGATTGGCCTTGAGCTAGCATCCATTGCCAATCGTCCTCTTTTTGCTTGAGGAAGATGTCACTGAGCTAATATCTGTGCCAATCTTCCTCTATTTTGTATGTGGGTTACTGCCATTGCATGGCTTGATGAGTTTTATGTTGGTCTGTGCCTGGGATCCGGACCCACAAACCCTGGGCCACCAAAGTGGAGTGCGTAAATTTAACCTCTATGCCACCAGGCTGGCCCCAGTGTTCTTTTCACTTTTTAATGGAGATCTCTGAACATTCCTGCAATGGAGAGATGTTTATGAAGCTTACTACTTGGCAAGAACATCTCTATTCTAATGTTTTATAAAGAACATTAATCAAATGAAAATGTTAAATAAACAATCGGTCAACTTGGTCATAAACCGTGTACAGTATCTATGATAACCAACGGCCTACAGTCTAGGTAATATATTCTTTATGGTTTTACAATATGATAATGAAAGTAAAAAATACAAAACTTCACATTCTAGAAGATTCAGGCGTCACCAATTCATTTTGGGAAACCTGCCTTCTGTTGTGTTGTATTTATTTATATATACATGTACATATATATATACATTTTTTTACGCACATATATAGATGGCTGTGATGTGCGACAGTTATGGAAATCATGAACAGGGAAGCTGTGCGAGAGAAGAACCAATTGTCAGGACTCGACCTCAGCAGCTCTTTTGGATCCCTCCCTTCCTTTCTCCTTTCGCCGCTCCCACGCCAGCTCAGGCCTTGCTCACCTTACGACCCCCTCGCCATAACCACCTCCCAAAAGATGTCCTGGTTCCAATCTCCTCCCCAGTCTGGCATGAGCCCTGCCCGGCTGACGGTCCCACGGTAACTCTGCTCCTCTGTGGCTCCCTGAGCAAGCACCTCCCACCCCCACACACCACCCACTACTCACTCCTGCCCTGCTCGGTGGCCTCTGTATTTCTCACCTCCATGGAACTCTCAGCTGCATGTCCCCATTGGGAGTCTTTGTCCCCGCAGAGTCCAGTGAGGTCTGTCTGGCCCTCTCCAGGATGCTTACTCAACCACCAAACCCACTTCACCCCAGATTTTGTCTGCACCCCACCATTAGTACCGTTATGTGCATGACATACAAGGTAGGTGACTTTTTCTAGGAATCCCCATCTAAATAGTTATCTTAACATCTTCAAAAGGATTGGATGCTCCTTGGCTTTGAGGCAAAGGAACGTTCCAAAGAAGAGGGCTAAGTAGTTTTCAGGCATTATTTATGTACGTATGCATTTATCCAAAGATTACAACAGACGATCCAGAATCAAGGAAGGCTAGAAGAAAGCTAGCCAGGCCACAGGCTCCTGTGCAGCTATTCCTGATGCTCAGTGAACAGCCGCTGATGAGTTAAAAATCACCCCCTTTATTCGGGATCAGTAAGAGGACGGGGTAGCCTGCATTGCCGGAGAAGACCGACAAATTGCAAAGATTTAATTAAATTAAATGGCATTCAAGAGGAACAACCAGAGAGATGGGCGTGAGAGTCCTTGTGACAAAGCCCCATAGACGGGGCGTAGAGTGCGGATCCCGCCTCCTAGCTGACTGTCACCCCGCCTAGCACCTGCTGCCTTAAGGAGGGAAGAATAGGGAGGAGAAAAGTGGGATTAAAAAAAGGAGAAAAAGACCAAGAAAAGTGTGGGAGAGAACTACAAGGAAAACACAAAAGAAGTGAGCACAGCGCCTCTGTCTACCTCGTGCTTCAAGCTTCAGATGAACTAAGATGACCCCTTCCTAAAGAGAAACCCCGGGGGAAGTTCCCTGTAGGCACTCGACCTGGTGACCAACACTGGCAGAATGACACACGACAGTAACTGAAATTCCGAAAACCCAAGACCGAGATCAAATGACAGCTGCAGAGAACGGACGCGATACACAACAGGGAACTTTTGCAAGCCAAAGTTTAAAGACACAGAGAAATATAGGAGAACAAATTTGTACCTAAACAAAGGAAAAACGAGAAAAGCGAACGTTTCAGAAAACCTTACTCTCAGTTTCGCATTAAGGAAAATGTTAAGTGAGGACCAAAAGGTGACAAATGTCATGCATGACTGTGAAAAATTAATTGCATAACCGACTGGCCAGTTTGGCTTCCAAATAGGATTGGGGACCATCTTAAAAAAAAAAAACAAAAACCACACATTTCAAAGCACTTTTGAAAAACACAGAGGAAGGTACTTACTAACAGTGCCCCATAGAATTTCGAGAAGGCTTGGCGGAAGCGAGAAAGCATATCGCCAAAGCTAGAAATTATGGCCAGGGAACCACACCGCCTTCCTCTTCAAGCATCGAGAATCTTGCTCCTCCACGTGTCAGAGAGCAAACCTCCAGGGCAAGTTTGTAAACATGCGGGCATTCTCACCGGGCATCACGAAAGCGGTGGAGGGCAAGAAGCGTTTCCTTGCCTCGGGGACAAGTCAGACCCACTTTTAGCAACTGACATAATCAAACACCTCGGGGTCATTTACTTAATATAGGGACTGCTATTTCCACTGGGTGGCAAGTTGAGCAAGGTTGGCCACCTGTTCTGCTGTGAGCCTGCCTGTCTCCAGCAAAGCCCAAATCAGAGCGAGCCACTAAAGTGAAGCCCCGGGTGCAGGATGCAGGCGGGCGGGCGCTGCGGCAATGGGACCACACCCCAGACCCTACTGGCCACATGCAGATGTTCTGTCCCATCGACACGCCTGGAAGCCTGCAAATCAGGTCGCTAAGAAAGTAGCTCTTGTTGTTAACACTGCTTTCATGCATTTTTTTCTGGAGGCTCTATCTTTGTCATTTAAAAACTCCGACCTCCTTGTACCATTGGTGGGGCCTCTCCTAAAGAAACAAAACCGGGAGAGTGTAAGCCATACGTACACCAGAGGCCACAGAGCTCCACTGCAAAGCCGCAGAGTCACTGTTCCTGGTGTCCAGGCTGCATTTCCTAGTCTCCTAAATCAGAACCACTCTCCAAATCCGGGGCCACAAATATCTGAAGTAGACTCAAATAGTCCATAAAATGTCCCCAGTGGTTTTATAATGATGCAGTTTAAAAAGAGAAGTCTATACCATTAACATGCCCCCCCCCCCCCCCCCAGGCTCCTGGAAGGGACGTGGTTGGCTAATTTGACACACTGTTTTTGCATTCCCTGTTAATACAGCATGCCCACCAGTTTGAAATCCATACCCACTGGGTTCCTGTTCTGTGCTTTCCCAAATAGCAGCTTAATTGGTGTTAGCAGTTTTGGGGAGAAAGCCAACAAAAATAAAAGCAATTCATAAAAAAGAAGTCCCACTCACCACGCTTTTGCTCAGACACGCCTCTTAGCCAAAAGTCACTGGCCCGGACTGCCGAGTGAAGAGCCCAGAACTTCAGTTTACAACACCTCTTAGTTATAGGCATCCCTCTGTCCTTCCTGCTAGGAAATTCCTCTCTCACTTAATGGTGAGCCTCACCATCCCAGTGAATGACAAAATTAATAAACATCTCTATCATGCGTTACCTGACATTACTGTTCACTGGGAATTCATGTGTTAGTTGTAACAAGAAGACACAAACTATCTTTATGTCCATAAATCTCTACAAGGGGGTAGCCCACCCAAATGCTGTTTACCACCCACACCCAGTTCATTTGCCTCATGGAAACCTAGAGATCTGCAAAAGAATTTCATTTGGCAGCTCATGTGACCTACACAGAAACCGTTGGCTTTGTTCCATGTTGAAGCGATCACCTGGGTCACAGAGGAGCGGGAGAATTTCGCCCCCAGGGGATGTGCTCAGATTTTCCCACATCTTTCGAAATCCCCCTCTGTCCACTCAAGGATGAAATCACCTCATGGCAACTGTGGATTCATTAACTGGTTAGATTGCAGAGAGATTTCTAGTAATGTCGAAGAGCTGAAGGTGGAGCTCCTGATCTAACGGAAAAAAATATTTGAAACTGCCAGGTCCAAAGTCTGGCCTCAGAGGGGTTCATCTCCCATTTTCTGAGGATGTGCCCAGCTGGGCAGACTGGCAGGTGACACTGGCAGGTGTCACTGAAGCTGCAATTCCAAGATCCAAGAAGGTGGGGCTTGCTTCCACCCACACGCAGGGAAACTGAGTCTCTAGCTGACAACTATTCCTGACCTCTTGACAGCAGCACCAGCCACCTGCGGAATAGATCCTCTGGGTGTCCAGTGGGCAACGCGATCCCAAACAGCCCCCAGTGAACTCCTCCTCTCTGCCTGCTGCTTGCAAAGCTTCTGAGCACTCTCCTGTCTCTTCTAGATTTCTTCAGCACCATCTACCCCAACCCGGCCCTTCTGTTTCCAGTCTCCCCACCTCGATCCATTCTCCACGGTGCAGCCAGACCAACTGTAAAACCAAAATCTTAAAAATCCTTCAGGACCCCTGTCATCCTCAGGAAAAAGCCCAAATACCTTAAAAGGGCTCACGAGGGGCTGGCCCCGTGGCTGAGTGGTTAAGTTCAGGCGCTCTGCTGCAGGCGGCCCAGTGTTTCGTTGGTTCGAATCCTGGGCACGGACATGGCACGCTGAGGCAGCGTCCCACATGCCACAACTAGAAGGACCCACAATGAAGAATATACAACTATGTACCGGGGGGCTTGGGGAGAAAAAGGAAAAAAATAAAATCTTAAAAAAAAAATGGGCTCACGAGCTCCCTGACCTGTTTTGGCCGGAGTGTGTACCTTCTCACTCGCCCCTCCCCAGCCCATCCTTGCCTTCACTCTCTCCCACAGCCGGGACTTCCACAGCAAGCCAATGCCTCGTCTTGGAACACTGCTCCTTTACTCCAGCGACATCCCTTCCTCCATGGGCCTTCACTGACCGGCCAGGATGGGGCGAGGTCTCCGTCCCGTATGCTTCCAGACACCCGGTTTACCCCGTCTGGAAACAGCTATGTCTCTCTCTGTGCCAGCTCTGGTCTTTAGGACCCTGGAGGCCAGGATGAGTATCATACCATCGTTACCATAGCACCCCCCAGACCCAGGAAGGAGGAGCCCCCGCCTGGTGCCCTGTGCTCTGTGCTTTAGAGAGCTTCGCATTTCACAAACATACAACAAATTATTCAAGCATGTATGTGCACAGCACAACCCACAACCCTGAAGGGTCACTGTCCTGATCAGCACTATTTGGGATCCAGGAAATGCTGTTCCAAATTCCCACCCTGCATCCTCGAAACCCAGGGAGGCGAATGCTGTGAAGGCGAGTGCATGGAACCTTGGAGGCGGGGGCTGGTCTGGAAGTCAGGCAGGCTTTGAGAAGCAGAAGCATTTAGGTCAGAGAAAGGTAAATTAATCATCAAATCCATTCTCTCAGTGTGGATGCAACCGAGTCTTGCACATCAGTGTCCATTCCCAATAGTGACACGGGCACGTTTTCTTGCCTCTCTTCATGCTCCAATTCATGATTTAAGAAGTACTCAGGAACTACTGTGGGACTGGCAAAACTGGTGCACGGCAGCTGAGTAACGTTTTGCAATATAAAACAATTCACATTCCTCTTAAATTTGCACAGGTGGCCCTAAACATATACATACACACATGCGCAGGCTACTGACTCTTTACTGTATCTAACCAGATGCTGCTTTAACAAATGGTGAAGACAGTAACATGAGTGATATCAATCTATATGATGAAATAAAATGTTTCATAATATTTTTCTCGATAACAAGTTACTGTTAACTTGTGACTAACAATTAGCAACTCATTACAAAGTTTGAGCACGATATGCAAAATTCACAGTTTATATCTGAATCCAAGTATTCCTTAAAGAATTTTATTGACAATTTCAGTTGCTTTTGGCAGAGTTCTCTAAATTAAATTAATAATAAGCTAATTGTACTGACTCAAGAAAGGTTATCTGATTTGGCACAGCTGTTCATAAAACACAATGTATATGAAAAACGATTATAACAACATAATTTCGCTGAATTTAAGGCAAGAAAAATAAAATGTACAGAATAACATATAATATTTTGGAAGTTATGTACATTTTAATTTTATTACTCATCCAAATATCACTCACTCATAAACATCCAGATGTGAGCAAGAATAAATAAATTTAGTTGTCTTTGACATTTTATGGATTTTCAATCATAGAAAAACCATGGTTTTACACTTATTTTTTTTAAATTTTGGTATTCAGCAACTACATTTGTTGAGGTAGGACTAGATAACATATTTCATTTATAACTTTTAAATGTTTTAAAATATATGATACAAAGGCTTCCATTTATACGCTTACTGGGTCCTCTTGACGATAGTGGTAATTGTGATTGCACATCCCCACTGGCTGGTCTGCGTGCTCAACAGACATTTCTGAAATGAAATGCATGTGTATACATGCCTAGGGACCCACGTAGAAATTTAAGAGTAATGTGAATTGTTTAATATTGCAGTAAAATTTCTGAAATGAATGAATGACTCCCTTTCTCTATCAAGATGATACAGTAAATTCAATCACTAACATGTCAAGTTGCTCAGAAAATCTTAGCTTCAGGGTATGTTTCCCGTCAACAAGTAAACACTTGGTCACCGGCAGAAAATGTTTTGGATGCTGGTTTCATCACCTAACGAATTTACCATTCCTCCCAGCTTGATTTTAGGTACCAATGTGATCAGCATGGTGTGTGTCTACACAGTTCTGCTTGCAACATCTACTTATTCAAGAAACATGTATTAATCATGTAGGCTGTGAAATAAACTCTGGAAAAGCAGTGGGGGATAAGAAAGATGGGGGCATCCTGGAGCTAAGGTTCTGGTGGGGGCACAGTCAGTCAACAAACAACTACCTGGTTAAATAGGCAAAGAGAGTTGTTTAGACTGCTAAGCAGGAGCTGCTATGAGAATGGATAGCGGGAAGACCTTAACCTAGGCTGGAGACACAGAGAGCTCCCCAGAGAAAGCATCATCAAAGCTGAAACCCACAAGGTGTGTTAGGAATTATCTCGGTAAAGAAAAATGAAAAGAGAGCCACGTACACAGAGAATACAGAGTGCCAGACAAGACACAAACACAGCCGACCCCACATGAGCAGAGCCTGACCCGAGATCAGCTTGGTGTGCTCAAAGACCCAGGAGAAGAGCCATGTGGCTGAATCCAGCGAGGAAAGTGGCTGGCTTCCTCTTGAAAAGTTCAGGTTTTGTCCTAAGTGCAATAAGGCCACAAAAGGGTTTTAATAAGAATGTGTTTCTCTGATTTTAGATTCTGTAAAAACTGACACCGATCCAGAAAGAGTCGAAGTGAGAGGAGCAGTAAAAGGGCTGGTAATTCCCCGAGGAAACAGATGGGTGTGGCTTGGACCAAGGGTGTGGTGACCAACAGACCCCTCTGAGATTGCCGTTGGTGGGAATATCCATCCACTCAGTTGGTGATTGATTAGAGGTAGGGTGAAGAAAACTGAGAGGTTGAAACGATAGTCGGAAACCTGATGCATCAGTCATGTTCAGATGACATCTCCACTTTTATCTCCATTCCAGACTTATCTTTTACCTTCAGACTAACATATCCACTCTCTGCTGGAAACCTTAACTCCACAATTTCCCAGGAAACTCAACTAACTGAGCTCCTCATCATTTCCCCCCTGAACCACCCACTAACAGCTCCTTCTCCACTTTTCCTTATCATAGCAAGTGTTCCTAGCACTTGGCAATCATCTGTGATGGTTCATTTTATGTGTCAACTTGACTGGGCCACGGGGAGCCCAGATATTCAGTCAAGCTTTTCTGGGTGTGTCTGTGAGGGTGTTTTTGCATGAGATTAGCATCTGAATTGGCAGACAGAGTAAAGCAGACTGCCCTCCCTAATGTGGGTGGGCCTCACCCAATCAGTCAAAGTCCTAAAGAGAACAAAAAGGCTGACCCTCCCTCAAGGAAGGGGGAATTCCACCAGCCTGACTGCCTTTGAGCTGTGACATCACTCTTTCCCTGCCTTTGGACCAGAATGGAAACATCAGCTCTTTCTGGGTCTTGAGCCTGCCAACTTTCAGACCAAAACTTACACCAGAGGGTCTCCTGGGTCTCCAGC